GGGGGGGGGGGGGGGGCACTCAGGCATTATGCCCTTTGACTGACGGCTGGAGTAAAAGGCATGGAACCTTCTGTATAGCCTCTTCTCAGCCTCCATCACTACAGTAGCAGGCCACCTGCTGGCTCCAATCTATTGGTGGGGAGGAGGGCCTGCTGGAAAACGGGACCCAGCATCTCCCTTATACAGATAATGACATTTACAGACATTGTTGACTGGACTTGCACTGGAGATGAGGGTGGGAGGTAAATCCTGCCTTGCTTCAGGGAGCAATCAATGCCTCTCACCCCCCGGCTGTAAAGTGGGTTGTCAGTCCCGAAGTTGTAAAGGGATGCTAGGCCCGGTTCCCGTGCGTGCTGAGCCTGGTTCTCGGCACGTGCTGGGCCCGGTTCCCAGCGCGTGCTTCCCCCTGGGCCAGCGAATGGAAAGGAGACATCAAGGCTGGCAGACTATGGATCAGGTTTGCCTTATGATAGCCACCATGATCGATGTTTCTAAAGTAACATATAGAAAAAGGGAGAGCAGGCCAGTTAAGCAGGGCGGAAGGGGAAACAGGCACAGTAGTCAGTATACAAATTCCCAAAGTCTGGATCTTGGTCCTAGTAGACATAGTGGAGATAAATGCTCAGGCAGCAACAGCAACCACATTTCTCAATTTCAATTCCATTCTGTACATTATCATTGTTGGGATGCTGGACCCCATTTCCAGCAAGTGCTGCTCCCCACTAATAGATGGAGCCCTCCAGTAGGGGAGCCACTTGAGAAGGATGCTCTCATCTTCTCAAATGGCAACTTCTCAAATGGCAGTCCCCCCCCAACAAAAAAAAAAGAAAAAAGAAAAGGACGAAAAACAGGGGCGGGGCTGTAACTGGCTGTTTCGTAGGAGTTTCACAGGTGCAACCTACTATCTTGCTATCTTCTACATTCACCTAATATACAAATCAAAAAAAAAAAAAACAGAAGATGTCGCACGTGTAGTCGTAGCTACTGTCAAGCCTCTGAAGGCTCACAGGCTCCAGGGACACACGAGCGAATGGAGGATTCTCAGCTATCTATCATTAAAAAAAAAAAAAAAAAAAAAAGTTGCTATGTTAGTATGTCCCTTTTTTTTTTTTTTTTCTATTATGAAAAGTCCAGGGTGTTGTAGAGGCCAGTTACTAGGATCACATTGATCGTCGGAAGCTGTCAGCCATGGTTGGCCTGAAGAGACGAGGCTACCTCCGCTCCCATCCTCGCGTCAATACTCCTAGCGCACCCCCTATTCCTACTATCCGACCAGCACTCAGGACCATTACCCTACCATCAAGGGGAACGTGGACCGAACAGTAGTGACAGGCACCAGGGCTAGTGACCCAGCCCTGGTGGAAGCACAGTAGAACGAGCCTCGTCGTACGGGAACTTCGGACGCCAGGCTCAAGCAATCACCTATTAGCCCCTAAGTAGACCGACTAGTAACTCACGCCCTCTCTTATCATAGAGACGCACATTATTAGTTGGTCGTGACCTCCTCCCAGCCCTATGGTTATGTATGTGTGTGTGTGTTCGGTATTGCAGGTATGTGCCTGTAGGCTATGTGTGTACGTTTGTAATGTGCGTGGACCCGTAGCAGACGAGGTGCTCTTACCACCTCTACCAGTGCCTGTGTGAGCCATGTGTAGGTAGTATGTACAGGCCCCTAGAAGCACCTTGCCTCGACGCTGCGGAGGGGCAACCCTATGCGCCCTTAATCTGTTGCCAACGATGTTGCTATGTTCCTAATGAGGAGAGGCAGACTGTGACCGTACAGCCTTCTTTTTGGGTGGGGACGGGGGATGGGGAACTACGCAGGGGTCACAAAAATGAGTTATAATTGCACTATGGGCCAAGATACAGTTTCAAATTGCAGTTCGGGCAATGTATACAACCCAGCTTTTCGAAGTGCAATTGCAAACTGTATCTTGGCCCATAGTGCAATTATAACTCGTTTTTGTTGTGAAGGGTGTGGGGCTGCGCTAGCGCTTGCGCCCCGACGCCGGCGGACCAGTAGGCCCGGTTCCCCCGGCTCGACTAGCGCCTGGGGAGGTAAGCTCCCAGGCTGCTAGGCCTGTGCCCAGCAGTAGCGTGTGGCTCTTCGATTGCCACGTGGCATCTGCTGTCGGGACGTGAATGTCCGCGACACGCGGGCAGGGGTAGCGCCAGCAGTGAAGACTGGCGACGAATTGCAATACGTGGCGCAGCAATTTGGGTGCGGGATGGAGATGGTACTAGGGGAAAACAATGTGGAGCATTTCGACTACAGGATACGCTTGGTGACAATGAAGATGGTGTCTCGCTTACAGAAGATGCTGAAGGTGAGCAAGCTGATGATTGCGATGTGCTCCGCTATTATACAAATATCTGCGCTATGTGTGAGATCTGGGAATATGAAAGAGAGACGACCTGTGCTGTTGCTGTGCGTGAGAGTGATGAGTATGAGGGGGGGGGAGAAGAAAGGTGGGCTAACTTGATGGCACTGTCCTACCACGTTGAGGAGGAGAGTGCAGTTGGCGATGGAGAGAGGGAATATGCCGCTGATGATGAAGGGGGGGGAGAAGAAAGGTGGGCTACCTTGATGGCACTGTCCTACCAGGTTGAGGAGGAGAGCGCAGTTGGCGATGGAGAGAGGGAATATGCCGCTGATGGCGCAGGTGAGTGGGAGGTTAGGTATGAGAGTGCAGTTGGCGATGGGGAGGGGGAATATGCCACTGATGACGCAGGTGAGTGGGAAGGGGAGTGGAGGCTATTGGCAACGGTGGAAATGGCGGAAGCGGCAGCGGCGACGGCAACAGTAACAACAATAACATCTACAACAACAATATTGGAGGTGGAGCAGGGGTCGACAGAGGAGAGGCAAGGAATGGGCAGGTTTGGAGAGAAGGGTGGGATGGTCGACAAAAACAATGACAATAACAACAATGACAACCACAATAATAGCAACTTTAACAACGGCAGCGAGCGGCGAATGGGCGAACTGGGTGAGATAGGAGTGAAGGAGGATAACAACAACAACAACAACAACAACAACAACAACAACAACAACAACAACAACAACAACGACGACGACGACAACGGCGGCGACACCAACGCGATGGAGGAGAGGGGAGAGAACACCAATGACATGGAGGAAAGGGGAGAGAACACCAATGACATGGAGGAGAGGGGAGAGAACACCAATGACATGGAGGAGAGGGGAGAGAATGCCGACAACAACGACAACAACTACAACAACAAAGTTGGCAAAGACAGCGAGATGGTTGAGATGGGAGAGGATGTTGACAACAACAACAACAACAACAACGATAGCAACGGCGGTGAGCAGGGACTGGGAAAAGGCTGGGGTGGGTGAGATGGATGCCACGGACAACAACAACTATGGCAACATGGGAGAGACGGACAACAACAACGACGGCAACATGGGAAAGATGCCGCCAACAGTGCAGTGGCGGGGATTTTGTAGCTTGTTATGGCTGGTGAAGTGGGGTTTGAGGTTGAAGGTACGATTTAATGTTCCCCCCCACCCCTGCCCGGTGTTTCCTCATGATGAATCATCTCCTCTTTTCTGGCATCGGGTAGGGATAGGATAGATGATCTCCCTGCGATGAAATGATTGCTTAGGATAGATGATCTCCCTGCGATGAAATGATTGCTTAGGATAGATGATCTCCCTGCGATGAAATGATGGCTTCTTACCTTTCTGACCCCCAACTCTTAATCATGAAATGATTGTTGATGATTACGCTTATTATTGTTGTGAACATATGCGCAAAATGACATCTATACACAGCTATACATATCATGGTATTGGAGATATAAGCTTTATGAGCAGGAGGTCAATCCTTCCCCTGTGTTGGGAAGTAATCAATGCCTCTGCTCCTTCTGGTGACACCTGTGAGCCAAGTACAGATACAGTCAGTTCGCATACATCATAGTATGGAGATGCTGGACTCGGTTTCCAGCTCACATAGAGTTCATCAATACAATTGGGCTTGATGCCTCACTTATTATAGTGCTATCATAATGCTAGGTTAGAGGATAGGGTTTTCCATTCCGGGGACATGTTTACTAATCGATGAATGAAGACAGGCCGTTTGGATGTTGACTCATATGGATTGTTGTACACATACAGACCGTTTCTGACGGTACGACAAAGTACACAGCACTGTATAGGGGCGCTGGACCCGTGTTCCAGCTGTCACAAATCACGTCAGTGTTATACGTATCACATCATGGTTAGGGTTCCGTCTGATCCGGTCCACTGAAGACACGGCCGGATTTTGGTACCCCAGCACGCAAAGGAGACCTAATTAATGATGAATGATGGTGGTCAGGTGCTTGTTCACTCCTGCACAGTTAATCCCCTGAGGATCTCAGGGTAATCAATGTTTAAAAGCAAAGGAAGGAGGGAGGGGCTAGTTTCTCAACAGTAGATATCAGGCGCCTGGTGTTAAGGCGCAGAGGTTTCCTCCCCTTACTTAGCAACCTGCACAGTCAATCCTCTGGTGACCAGAGCAATCAATGCTGGCAGGTTTCATAACCAGTCAATTTCTCTTGATCCAGTATGTATCAACTCGGCAATGTATTCTGTACAGGGACGCTGGACCCGTTTTCCAGCAGGAAAAAAAAAAAAAAAAAAAAAAGGGTTCCGTCTGATAGATAAGATTGGGTTCAGATCCTCAGTTTGTTTTGGAGATACTGTGGATCAGATGGATAGGGTCTCCCATCATCCCCCATCATCTGACATATAATGCTTAACGTGCACACATAGCTAGTCGGAGATATCATCACATCTCTGCATTGGGACGCTTGACCCGATTTCCTGCAGTTGCATTCACATCACTGCACAGGGACGCTGGACCCATTTTCCAGCAGATACATTCACATCATTGTACAGGGACGCTGGACCCGATTTCCAGCAGGTGTAGCTCCCCACCAGTAGATGGAGCCTTCGATGTCGGGTCCTACTTACCATGGATGCTCTTATCGCCACGTTAAGTAGGTTCCCCATATACGAAGTTCAAAAAAAAAAAAAAAAAACCCTTTTTGTGACTCACAAAATGAGTTATAATTGCACTATGGACCAAGATACAGTTTCTAATTTGCAAGGAACATGAATATGGACGAAGCACAGAAATCCAGAATGCAAAATCACACTGAAGTCCAAGTAGTCAAAGCCAGAGCAGATAGCACAATGGAACCGAGTAACCATCCAATTGAGAATGATACAGAAGAATCGTGAGTCAATGTCCATGCCCAACAGGGCAACACCAACAGCATAACCCAATGTAGCTCTCTCTTATGAATGGCGTCAGGCGCCCTATCTACTCTACGGACTAAGCCTACAACTACAGCAATGAAAGCAACCAGACAACTTGACTACCAGCGAGTGATGATGTCAACCCAATGCCGACCTCCACCTCCACCAGGTACGTGTCCTCTTCACCCACACTCTCCCTTGTTACCCACACAGCGCCCTTCACCTCCGAAGAACCACCTTCGCCCTCACCTCCCCTGCGCCCCATGCAGCCCAGCTAAGGCCGCCAGCGCACAGTGCACAGGCAGCACCCTACCGCCTAGCGCCTGCCTGCCTCGCACTTCTTCCTAGCGCAGCGCAGCAGCAGCTCGCATTCGCGCAGCATGCGGGCAATGCCCGCATTGGCCAAGATTGCCTGCCCACTCGCCCTGCTTGCCTATATGCCAGTGCTGCGTGTGGGCGGCCTCCCTTCAGCCTGCGACTGGGCCCCAGTGGCTGAACCCAGCCCGATACAGTTGAGGCCCGGGGCAATGCAGTTGCGCCTCTTTCATCAAGGCCTGCGGCCAGATTCAGGTAGTGGGCCGATTTCCCTTTGGCATTTCCGGCCTCTATACCCAACGTGCATTGTCGGCCTCACGTTCAGGTGCCCAGGGCCTAACTAACTCAGAGGCCCTAGGTTCTCCACATTTGCAGAGATTCGAGACTCGGTGCATTCCAACCAACTGGCGTGCTGCAACTGTATGGACCCTACTTCGGGAAATGTTTGTACAGAGGGCTCTTGTTGATTTGCTGGCCCGCCTTCACTTAGGGCGGGCACTAGGCTTGTTGGGGCCTTAGCCCAGAACATGTACATCATGGCAAGGCCCCTTCTTGAGGGCTCAATCCTCACATTCCATCCCCCTTAGCTTCGAAAGTCCGCTGAGATGCTTACTTCGCAGGTGCCTTCCCTTTCAGCAGTCTCTCGTATTCTGCCACCACCTGAGGAGCTGTCTCAATCAGTTCCTCTCTGGTAAACCACCGATCTTATTTTGGATCCGTATGATGCCTGAATCTGATGCGATACTCTCTCTTGGGTGTAGGAGGTCTTCCTCGACCCAGCGGCTTTGGAACAGGCATGTCCCCTGTGATCCACAATGTCGTCGATGTCCATTTGACCATCCATGGTTGGGGGCAGCATCGATCTCCTGAAAGGGAATTGATCAGTCTCAGCGAAAGGTGCAAGCTTTGAGGCATGAAAGACTGGGTGAGTGCGTAGGTGTCCAGGGACACGAATGACATATGTGGGGTCATCCATCTCATCTCCCACTATATCCAGGACTTCCCAGGGACCAAAGTAGTGAGGCATTAGTTTGCGAGAGATTCTGAACTCCTGTCCTAACTCACTAGCCTTGACCCAGACACGTTCCCTTACCTGAAATATGGACTGTCTACGCTGTTGATTCTCATAAGCAATCATGGCTTGCTGAGCTTTCTTCATGTGCTCGACATCTTCTTGCAGCAACTTCTCATATGGCACACCATATTCAAGGGTGCCTGGAGTTGCAGCGGGTCGGTTTTCAGGTAGGAGGAAGTCTAATGTTGATCTAGGCTTCCATCCCAAGTGAAGTTGATTAGGACTAACGTCGATACTGCTGTGGACAACATTGTTGTACAGGCTGGCGACGAGAGGCAACTGCTCATCCCAATCATCCTGGTTGGGCTTGATGTAATGCCTCAGCAAGTGCTGTACAACTCTGTTCATTTGCTCGGCTTGTCCGTTGGCTTCGGGATGATTCCCTGAAGTCATCTGAAGTTGACTGCCCATTTGTTCTGCAGTCTTCTTCCACAACTCACTTGTGAATCGGACATCTCGGTCACTAACGATTGACTTTGGAAAACCAAAGTCACGCACCCAGTTGTCTTTGAACAACTTGATGACATAGTCAGTTCTTGCGGTCTCTGGCATAGCCACTAGTCTAGCGTACTTGGTGAATCGATCGATGATGACGAAGATATGSCTCTTGCCACTCTTACTAGTCACCAGGGTGTCCATGAAATCCATGGAAACACTCTGTCTTGGACCAGCAGGAATAGGCAAAGGCTTCAACAACCCAAGCGGTGCTTGAGTTCGCGGTTTGTCCTGCTGACAGACCTGACAGGTCTCTACGTACTTCTTTGCGTCATCTAACATTCCTGGCCACCAAAATCGCTGTACTAGGTTAGCACCCGTCTTCTTGTAGCCGAAGTGTCCCGTTGCGTCATGGCATTCTCCTAAGAACAAACTACGCAAAGGTTCACTAGATGGAACTACTAATCTTTTTATTCCGGCCTTATCAAGATAGAGGAGCCCATCTACCATCACAAACTCGCTTTCCGTGGCCTTGTCTTTTGCCTGAAGTTTGCGAAAGATGTCCATCGTGACAGGGTCTTCCTGATAGGCTCCCAACATCGATTGAGTTACTTCATCAGATACGCCAAAGCCAGAAACTAACGCACCTAGGTAGTCTGCTCTACGTGATAGCGCATCAGCAACCTTATTATACTCTCCCTTCAAATACTCAAGCTTGAAGTCATATTGGTCTATGACCTCAATTCATCGCTTGAGTGCATCAGAAAGAGACGGTTGAGTCTTGATCCATTTAAGGGTCTGATGATCAGTCCTCAAGTAGAAGAACCTTCCCAGTAGGAAGTGTCTCCAATGAACAAGTGTTTTATATAGAGCATAAAGTTCCCTTTCATAGGTGGACTTTGTCAACTTCTTTGATGGCATCTTCTTGCTCATATACTCAATCGGTCTCAACTTTTTCCCATCTTGTTGAGCCAGCACCCTCGCACTCATCACTCCAGTCCCACGGCGTGTCAAGTCGAGTTAGATCAGTCAAAGGAGAGGCGACTATAGAATAGTTCTTTACGAAGTTCCTATAGTAGTCGCACATCCCTAAGAAAGATCTTACCTCAGTGACAGTCTGAGGTCGTGGCCAGTCTCGAATACTAGCCACCTTCGCATCCTCCGACCTAATCCCTTCCGCGGATACTTCATGACCTAAGTATAGTATCTTAGTGCGACCGAACTCACACTTCTCTAAGTTGACCTTATACTTGTGTTGTCGCAGGAGTGAGAGTACAGTCTCAACGT